TCTTGCCGGAGTAAACCCATCTGCTTGTAACCCTCACACACCCTAGATACTGGAGCGGGTACACCAGGGTAACCTGTCGGCGCCTGTGGCTTTGGCGTTGCAAACGCGCCTCGTGGTGCCGGGTTCGATCCCAGCTGCGGACGGTTAAGCTGGCCATTCTGAACATGTGCCTAGAAAAACCACAACATCAGAAAACATGCTGGGGTTGGTTCTGGAACGTCCTGTAAATGATATGCAACTAACTTACTAAGGGTACTAGGCTAAGGTAATACACTAGCGTAATATTCCCTAAAGTCCATGCTGTGTAGCGTTGGTAATCATGTCTATCCACAACCTTGTGTATCGTGTACTTTCAAATTAGTAATCATGTCTATCCATACACAACCTTGTGTATCGTGTACATTCAATCAACTCTAATACAGATGATTCTCCCTGCCACGATGTCAAACTGTCCAGCGCAATACACCGGGATAATACAGTAGGGTAAATACTGGACGCTGCCCCAACGATTTTACAAGACTGGGCGGGGTATCTGGGACTTTTGCCGTTGGACTGGCATCAGAAATGTGGCTCGTCAATTGACTAAGGTGTGAAATATTTAACTCGCATTCTCTAAGGGGTTATATTAAATCAACAAAAATAAGTATTTGCCTTTCTTGTATTGACAGCTACAAACATTTTCTTGCCTGGAAATGGTGCGTCGCTACTAGTTACTACATTAGCTTACTCTGTCATGACTTTTTCTGTAACTCTCTCTGTAATTACTAGAACTCGTTGAAACCGAGAGACATTAAGATTTCACGACTGAAACTGCAACTGAAACAACTAAATTCTTTTTCCAATTTAGACATAACGCACGCATGTACGCACATACATACAAAACACACATATATACCCACATACCCAAGCCATAGGACACACGCGCGCGTTCAGTCGAGCAATAAGGCAGAAACATAAACAAAAACTATATTTTTCCTTTTACGCTGTGTGTGTGCGTACGTGTGTGTGTGCGTGTGTGCGTGTGTTTGTCTGTCCGTCCGTCAGTTTCAGCCAAGGTCCCCGGGAAACAATCTGTACCATGACGTGAGTAGAAAACTAAGTCTCTTGTAGAAATGACCTTTAAACGGAAGGCATACCGACTGAGGTTTCAGGTTATGTTAACGAAAGCCCTTACTTTCCACACATAAATATTCAATCGATAAGAAACATGCTGAGCATACTCAGTACATTAGTCATGCCGCGACAGTGGGTGGGGAAAAGCAAAAAACATCTGATCTTTGGCAACATAACACCTGAAACTCAGTGCACTGGTTAGTGGTCAACTGTGTGAAAGTTGGTGGTCAACTGTGTGAAAGTTGGTGGTCACCTGTCTGAAAGTTGGTGGTCAACTGTGTGAAAGTTAGTGGTGACCTGTCTGAAAGTTAGTGGTGACCTGTCTGAAAGTTAGTGGTGACCTGTCTGAAAGTTAGTGGTCACCTGTCTGAAAGTTGGTGGTGACCTGTGTGAAAGTTGGTGGTCACCTGTCTGCAAGTAGGTGGTTCATTCATTCATTCAGTAGCATGTCCCTCGCGGAACCTCGCTGCCATAACAACCCTCCGGAAAACCTTCCTATCCTGAGCAAGATGTCCTGCGTCTGATACACCCATCTGGAGATCATCTGCCACATCCTGCACCCATCTTCTCCTTGGCCTTCCTCTTCCTCTCTTCCCAGGCATATACCCCTCCATTATTGTTCTCTCTAGACTTCCATGACGTTTCAAGTGCCCAAAATATTTCAATTTTCTTTGTTTTATTGTCTTTACTAGCCAACCCTCTTCAATATTCAGCTCTTGAAGTATGGATGCATTTGTTCTTTTCTTTACCCAAGATATTCTTAGAACCTGTCTGTAACATTTATATTCAAATGCATTTATGCGCTGTTCCGCTTGTTTAGTAAGTGTCCAGGTCTCACAGGCGTATGTTGCAATGGGAAAGATGCATGCAAGTAGGTGGTAACCTGTGTGAAAGTTGGTGGTCACCCGTCTGCAAGCTGGTGGTCACCTGTGTGAAAGTTAGTGGTCACCTTTGTGAAAGTTGGTGGTCACCTGTCTGAAAGTTGGTGAAAGTTGGTGGTCAACTGTCTGAAAGTTAGTGGTCACCTGTCTGAAAGTTGGTGGTCCCCTGTGTGAAAGTTGGTGGTCACATGTCTGAAAGTTGGTGGTTCCCTTGTACTAGAGTTAAGGGTCACCTGTGTGCCAGAGTTAAGGGTCACCTGTGAACCAGAGTAAATGGTTACATTTTTTGCCAGAGTTAAGGGTCACCTGTGTGCCAGAGTTAATGGTCACCTGTGTGGGAGAGTTAATGGTCACATGTGTGCCAGAGTTAATCGTCACATGTGTGCCAGAGTTAATGGTCACATGTGTGCCAGAGTTAGTGATCATCTGTGTGCCAGAGTTAGAGTTCACCGTGTGCCAGAGTGAGTGGTCACCGTGTGCCAGAGTGAGTGGTCATTTTGGTCACCTATGTGACATAGTTAGTGGTCACCTATGTGCTAGAGTTAGTGGTCATCTATGTGCCAGAGTAAGTGGTCATCTTGGTCACCTGTGTGAGTTAGTGGTCATCTATGTGCCAGAGTTAGTGGTCATCTTGGTCACCTGTGTGCCAGAGTTAGTGGTCACCTGTTTGTGAGAGTAAGTAGTCACCAGTGTGCGAGGGTTATTAGTCACCTGTGTTCGAGTTATCAGTCAACTGTGTGCAAGAGTTAATAGTCACATGTGTGACACTTACTGGTCACCTGTGTGTGAGAGTTAGTAGTCACCTGTGTGTGAGTTAGTGGTCACCTGTGTGCCAGAGTTAGTAGTCACCTGTGTGCGAGTTAGTGGTCACCTGTGTGTGAGAGTTAGTGGTCACCTGTGTGTGCGAGTTAGTGGTCACCTGTGTGTGAGAGTTAGTAGTCACCTGTGTGCGAGTTAGTGGTCACCTGTGTGCCAGAGTTAGTAGTCACCTGTGTGCGAGTTAGTGGTCACCTGTGTGCGAGAATGGTCACCTATGAGAAAGTTAATAGTCACCTGTGCGAGAGTTGGTGGTCATCTATGTGTAAGAGTTAATGGTCACCTGTGTAAGAGTTAGTGGTCGCCCATGTGCGAGAATGGTCACCTGTGTGAGAGTTAGTGGTCACCTGTGTGCGAGTATTAGCGGTCACCTGAGTGCCAGAGTAAGTGGTCATATTGTAAGAGTTAGTGGTCATCTGTGTGAGGATTAATGGTTACCTGTGTGAGATAGTGGTCACCTATGTGTGAGAGTTAGTGGTCCCCTGTGTGCCAGAGTTACTAGTTACCTATATGCGATGGTCAATGGTCACCTGTGTGCCAGTTACTGGTCACCTATGTATGAGAGGTAATAGTCACCTGTGTGCCAGAGTTAGTGGTTACCTATCTGCGAGACTTAGTATTCACCTGTATGATAGTTAGTTGTCACCTGTGTGTGAGAGAAGGTGGTCACCCTTGTGTAATAGAGTTAATGGTCACCATTGTTAAAAAATTACTGGTCAACCGTGTGTGAAAGTTAGTGGTCACCTATGTGCTAAAGGAGGTGGTCACCCTTGTGTGAAAGTTAGTAGTCATCTGTTAGTGGTCACCTATGTGTGAGAGTTAGTGGTCACCGATGTGCAATAGGCAATGGTCACTTCTGTGTAAGAGTTAAGGTCACCTGTGTGTGAGAGTTATTGGTCAACTGTGTGCCAGATCAAATGGTCACCAGTGTGCCAGTGTTAGTGGTCACCTAGGTGTGAGAGTTGGTGGTAACCTATGTGTGAGAGTTATTCGTCACCTGTGTGTGATAGTTAGTGGTCACCTATGTGTGAGAGTTAGTGATTACCTATGTGCGAGAGGTAATGGTCATTTGTATGCCAGCGTTAGTGTCACCTATGTGTGAGAGCTAGATATAAACTATGTGCTAGAGTTATTGGTTATATGTTTACTAGAGTTACTGGTCACCTATGTGTGAGAGTTAGTTGTTAATTATGTGTGGGAGTAGATGGTCGCCAATGTGTCATAGTTACTGGTCACCTATGTCCCAGAGTGAGTGGTCACCTATGTGCCAGAGTTTGTTAACCTATGTGTGCAGTTAGCTATCACCTATGTGCGACAATAGGTGGTCACCTATGTGCGAGAGTTAGTGGTCATCTATGTGCGAGAGTTAGTGGTCACCTATGTGCGAGAGTTAGTGGTCACCTATGTGCGAGAGTTATCTATGTGCGAGAGTTAGTGGTCACCTATGTGCGAGAGTTAGTGGTCACCTATGTGCGAGAGTTAGTGGTCACCTATGTGCGAGAGTTAGTGGTCACCTATGTGCGAGAGTTAGTGGTCACCTATGTGCGAGAGTTAGTGGTCATCTATGTGCGAGAGTTAGTGGTCACCTATGTGCGAGAGTTAGTGGTCACCTATGTGCGAGAGTTAGTGGTAACATGTGTGCGAAAGTTACTGATCATCTATGTGCAAAGACCGGTACAGAGAGACACACAGGCTACAGACTGGATTAACAAAGCGCTATTTAGCAAGATCATCGATAAGAAACTTTCTTTTTTCGTCGAGCCATATCTGATATTTATAACATCATTTCTGTGTCATTTAAAATTTACGAATTATTCGTCTATATTTAACTGCTGTTGTCCTGGCAGGGCCGGATCAAAGGATTTCGCTGGCGCATTTGACTCGCGGGCCGGAAGGTTCCCACTCCTAAACTAGACAGACCACACACACTTGCATAGACTTGGACAAAGGCAGACAAGCACAGACAGACAGACAGACAGACATGTGGAGAGTCAGACAGACAGAGTGACGTGGGAGCACATACCAGACTACAGACAGAAAAATGTCCAACATGTGGTCGCAATTGTATATATTATATCTGCCAGCTTGGGCTTCCACTTTAATACATGATTTACTATGGACACCCGCAAGAGGACCGCTGCAAACTGTCTAGACTAGACGTTCTAATCTCGGCCGGTTATGCGTACTCACCACTGGCATGACGCCTGCATAATGCGCTTGCTGGTAAGCCTGAAGCTGTAGGTTCTTGAGGATGAGGTTGTTGCGACCGTTCTGCAGCAGCTGCTCACGAAGATGTTGCGGTGGATGAAGGTACTTACAGGGAGGCTCCTTTCTTTGACATTTACCCTGGAAACAAAAGAGAAACTTCGTAATGACACCAATGACAATAGTTAGTACAATTGTTTATACAAATGTTAGAAACATGACTGACTCACTGACAGGTTATAATGCGATGTTTTTTGTACAGGTGTCAATATTGACTGGACAATGAAATCGAGGCAGTGAATGTATGACTTTTGAGAACTGCTGACAGAGAGAGAGAAAAGAGTCAAGGGGAACAACAGATGCAGATGTGACTAGATCAGCTATGAGAACAGGGGGACAGAAGGTATTACTAAATCTATCTTCATAGCCACAGGATTCAATGTTGTTACACCAGTCAATCACAGGATTCAATGTTGTTACACCAATCAATCACAGCATTCAATGTTGTTACACCAATCAATCACAGCAATCAATGTTGTTATACTAATGAATCACAGGATTCAATGTTGTTACACCAATCAATCACAGCATTCAATGTTGTTACACCAATCAATCACAGGATTCAATGTTGTTACACCAATCAATCACCGCATACAATGTTGTTACGGCGAAAATCACAGGATTTAATGTTGTTACACCAATCAATCACAGCATTCAATGTTGTTACACCAATCAATCACAGCATTCAATGTTGTTGCACCAATCAATCACAGGATTCAATGTTGTTACACCAATCAATCACAGGATTCAATGTTTTTTCACCAATCAATCACAGGTTTCAATGTTGTTACACAAATCAATCACAGCATTCAATGTTGTTACACCAATCAATCACAACATTCAATGATGTTACACCAATCAACCACAGCATTCAATGATGTTACACCAATCAATCACAGGATTCAATGTTGTTACACCAATCAATCACCGCATACAATGTTGTTACGGCGAAAATCACAGGATTTAATGTTGTTACACCAATCAATCACAGCATTCAATGTTGTTACACCAATCAATCACAGCATTCAATGTTGTTGCACCAATCAATCACAGGTTTCAATGTTGTTACACCAATCAATCACAGCATTCAATGTTGTTACACCAATCAATCACAGGATTCAATGTTGTTACACCAATCAATCACAGGATGTTGTTACACCAATCAATCACAGGATTCAATGTTGTTACACCAATCAATCACAGCATTCAATGTTGTTACACCAATCAATCACAGCATTCAATGTTGTTACACCAATCAATCACAGCATTCAGTGTTGTTACACCAATCAATCACAGCATTCAATGTTGTTACACCAATCAATCACAGCAATCAGTGTTGTTGCACCAATCAATCACAGCATGAAATGTTGTTACACCAATCAGTCACAGCAGTCAGTGTTGATACATCAGTCAATCAAGAGAACCATATCGATCTGCTCGTTACAGTGTTAATCAACCATGTGAAATATACCTAATCAACAGTTACGACCCCATTACTTGATGTTACTAAATCAATCAATCACTTTTCAGAGCAATATTAATGGTGCTATTTCTCTATATCACTGGTTCCCAGTTAGATAGGATCGGTGGACAACTTTTAATTTCCAAGACCTGCCATGATTCCCTACTATTTAATTCGCATTTAAAAATAAAATAAGAAGTCACTAACAAACATCAGACAAGAACCAGCTGTGCATTACTACAAATGTACCACTTGTTGGAACAACGACCACTTCCCTTTGAGCGACGGAAAACCAGTGTACAAACCAATGCACCGTCGCCATATTTTATAGGCACTAATTTTTTGCTGCCAAGTGGGGACATTAGATCCGCCTTTTGATTTAGGGACCAGTATTAACCACTGGCCCGGCATTTAAACTCTTCGCCCCCAGCAGCAATGGCTCGCTCCATCTGGAACCCTCACAATCCGGATCCGGTTTCTGCCGGCATTAGCCAGTCAATCAAACAACCACTCAATCAAATAATAAGTCGATCAATACCCGTTCAGGGGAGGCCTGGTAATGCAGTCCCAACACTGTTCTACCCAGAAGTGTCATCCTGTATTATCTTGATTAAACAGTCTTTCAATCAATCGACCAATCAATCAATTAATCAATCAATCAGGTTTCGTCTCCCTTATAAAGACTGCTATGATCTCCACGCTTTATGTCTCCCCCTGATTCTCCAACACTTTGTGTCTCGCCCTGATTCTCCAACACTTTGTGTCTCGCCCTGGTTCTCCAACACTTTGTCTCGCCCGGGTTCTCCAATATTTTGTGTCTCGCCCTGGTTCTCCAACACTTTGTGTCTCGCCCTGGTTCTCCAACACTTTGAGTCTCGCCCTGATTCTCCAACACTTTGTGTCTCGCCCTGATTCTCCAACACTTTGTGTCTCGCACTGGTTCTCTAACACTTTGTGTCTCGCCCTGGTTCTCCAACACTTTGTGTCTCGCCCTGATTCTCCAACACTTTGTGTCTCGCCCTGGTTCTCCAACACTTTGTGTCTCGCCCTGGTTCTCCAACACTTTGTCTCACCCTGATTCTCCAACACTTTGTGTCTCACCCTGGTTCTCTAACACTTTGTGTCTCGCCCTGATTCTCTAACACTTTGTGTCTCACCCTGGTTCTCCAACACTTTGTGTCTCACCCTGATTCTCCAACACTTTGTGTCTCACCCTGGTTCTCCAACACTTTGTCTCGCCCGGGTTCTCCAACACTTTGTCTCACCCTGGTTCTCTAACACTTTGTGTTTTTCATCACCATAAACATCATATCAGTTAAAAAAACAGAAATAAAACAAGCAAGTCAGTTAAAAATTCAGAATCAATTTTCAGCTCAGATTGAAGAATTTGTAAATATTCAAAAATACGATGTGCACGAGCAAATTAAATACTCGGACAACTAACATATACAAAGATAGCTGGGTCTGCCAATGTAAAAGAGCCAAGATTTGGCCGACAGTATGCTACCAGTGTCAAATATGGTCTGTTATGCAACTAACACACAGGAAAATCTTACAAAGGGTGAGGTGTCTTAGAAGAGCTGCACAGACAGTCACGGTGATGGAATGTATTGAGAACAGAGCTTGTGAAGGACAAAGTTAAAAAAAAACGTGACAGAAATAAATAGAAACTGAAACAAAACACTGAAGAAGAAAAAACACATTAAATATTCTTCTTCTTCACCACACCTTCAGATGTTTTTTTCTTTTCTCCACACACTTCGCTGAGGCAAATGAAGACCACTGAAGAATTTTTTAAAAAGGGTGGGGGGGGGGGAGAGAGAGAGAGAAGAGAAGATCTGATTGAACGTCTTCAGTCTACTGCACGCATACTAAACAGTTAGCAACCTCAACGAAACACAAGTTCTCAACTAAAGGTCTTCTCTCAGTTGTCTGTCATCTGGCCACGGTACTCCCTGTCTCCCTCACCCCGATACAAATAATGGCCCTTTGAAGAATTAGACAAGACTAAAACAACTACATGGCGGGGCTTCTTTATTTCAGCTCTCCTGTGTGGGTTGTGTATGGAACTGGCCAAATTGTTAGCTAAAAGAATAGCTACAACCCTTTTTATGGTTTCCAACTGTATATATTTAAAAGTCGAGACTTTTATACATCGATTTTTGTCAGCCAGTGGTAGGATTTGGCTGCGGCTACCGGCAATTTTCGTTAAAAGACAGACATAACATTGAAAGCATTGAGAAATAAAACTGGCATTTCAGTAAGAAATCTAGACATACTATTCAGAACAAACAACATAAAACAAAGACGGGGGAGGGGGGGGGGGAGGGGACTCTTTGTGTGTGTGCGCGTGCGTGCGTCCGTCCGTGTGTGTGTGCCTCTGTGCGCGCGCGCTTGTGGTACGTGTGTGTATAGGCTGTTTACAATGCGGATTTTAACCAATCTTCCTTTATTTTATTTCATTCTTACACCACCAAAGCGAAAGCTACCTCTTAGTTGCTGTTGGATTTGTTGCTTCGGCGATCAAACCAGTTGTCGCTCCTAGGAATATTGCTTGTATTAATAGTTTATGCGTTCTTATCCCTGCAGGGATCAACAGTATACATTTATTCTTTTTGGAACTTGAGGTTACTTGGTAACAGTCGGGGCTACGATATCACATGACGGTTGAACGCTGTTTCGAGGTACATGTCAGATATTCATATTTGAAGTGCTAATCCTAAAAAAAACTCCATTCCTGGAAAGGGCAAACTGCAATGCAATTTAACTTTTTCTCCCCTCCCCTTTCAATGTCTCCCTTGCTGCGTTCAAAACACTATCCTATTCGTTTTGTTTCGTAATATAAGATTTCACGATGACACTTTCTCCCATTACACATTTTTGGTTTCGTGTTCATCTCAGCTGCTTATTAGCTTTGCTGTCTTAACTATCACTTAGTGACGACTCAGACCACACGCTGGATCATATCCACAGAAGACGATCTCCTCCACCCATCTTAACTATCACTTAGTGACACAAAATAGGCCTCGAATCGTATCCAGACGTGTTGGACCCGTAAACTGGATGGATAGCATTGTAAACTTTAACTATCACTTAGTGACCGACTGTGGCCACTGGATACCCACAACGATCTTCCACCCATGTAACTATCACTTAGTGCATGTTTAATATCCTCAGAAGACGATCTCCTCCACCCATCCATCACTTAGCATAGACCATAATGGATCTTATCCACAGAAGACGATCTCCTAGTGCTGATTATTTAGTGGTCCTTTTCTCTGTCTACGGCAGCAGGAATCTGATCCCACATGCTGCATAGTCCACTTCCTCCACCCATCCAAAGGACACAAAATTGTGAATCGATCCAACGTGTTGGTGTATGGATGGATACCATTGTCAACTTTCGTGCCGTGACTGGTCACAACCTTCGTCTAGGACATGTTTAATAAGTTCCTCTGCATAGACGATAATTACTTCTGGGTGAGTGCAAGTGGCACTCTGTATACGGCCGCAGCGATCCTGCTTTTTGAGACATGATAACCTTGGTGTATTCAACCAGTCCTTTCCGTGACTGATCTCGTCTAGGACATTTCCTTAAAGGATTACATCTTGAGCAAGG